ATTCGAGATTAATGAGAAGTGAGTAATCGGGATCCGTTGAGATTCGCATTAAGACTACCAAGAAAGCATATCATGAATTCGCAAAACTCCGAAGTGTATTACTACATAATAACAATATAAATCTGTGACATTTTTTATAATGATTGTGCTCTCATGACGATCTTACCGTGGGATATGAAAAGCATTAACCAATTTATGTCACAGTGGAAATAACAGCTTTCTCGTATAGATGTACAATTAATTCGTTTCGTGTCTAGACAATTATGGAAAACGAGTCTTGGAGTCGGTTGTGCAATGTAACTCGACTATAACAACTCATAAAAAATTCATCAAAAAGACTAATTGCTATTAATGACTGTCTTGCTGGTGGACAGAGGAAGAATCGAAAAGCTAGAAAAATTAATAATACTAAATGGTAAAATCGTGGCGAGTGGCTCGTGACTACAATGCAAGAGCCCAATTCAGGTTATTCAAGCAAAACTTTCTCCTCTTGTGCTATCGTCAGAAGCGAATCGCGATCGGTTCTGAGTCATGATCTCTTGCTTTACAACATAGTAAGTTATATATAATTGCTCCTCTCATGAGTTTCCTCTCCCCTCCCCCTCGGATAATCCCACACACGATCGAAAGTACCTCTCAATATTTTATTGAACCGTCGAAATACTCTATTTATATTTCCTTTATGGCTCTCTTTCAACCAAGGAACAAGGGTCAATCAACAAGATCTTAAAATTCCGGATGGTCAAATCGTGAGTCACTTCCCACTGACAACAATACGTACATCATAAGGGCGCGCACAAAAGCGGTGTGAACACATGATAAACAAGCTAACTCACTGTCATTAAACCCAATTGCGCCGAGGACCATAGTAAAACGAGGCGACGATTCGGTTCATAAAGTCCAGTTACAAAAGAAAGAATCATGATTTATTGATTCGGAATAATCAGATTATTAAAATTGAGTAATCAGCCCAAAGCTTAATTTAGTATTGAATATTCTCATTTCGTTGAGAATTGATCAAATATCAAGTAAAATTTAAAATTTCATTTTTCCCCCTTCAATTCAACTTAATATCACTCTTCTAAAAATTCCTCGTAAACCGTCCATGAAATTTCAATTTTTTCCCAACAGTGTACCCGCGCTACTAAAAACAAAATTATATAAATCTATTGACACGACATGGAAGCTAGTAAATCGAGTGGAAAAAGCTTGTCTCGTCTGACAAGGGCATTTAATATGATAAATACCGACAAAAAATGGATTGCCCAATGATTGCACACTGAGGCCACCATAATATCAACACTCGTGGGAGACCAAACAAAAATTTATATAGCCTATACGCATGAGAAAAATTGTTATCGGAGAAATTTGATATAGAGCTGGGCCATTGTGTAGAAAAGCGGATTATTAGTGGGAGATGATGAACGATTGAGCCACATGAGATGCCAGTATACACACAGTTGAAATGAGGCCCTTAAACATGAGGGAGCCCTGGAATGGGGAAGGGGGGGGAAAACGAGTCAGGATGACGGAGGCAAGAAGCATTTCGTGTTATATGTTGCATTAGTTCGGGTTTGTACGGTGTGGTTTCGAGAGGGGCTAGACGATGAGATATCTGGGAATGATTTCATGGGCTGCATTCTCTGGCAGCCCCGAACAAGTATACAGTAGAGGAGATACAGGGCCCATCTGGAATAATAGAATACCATTTGCCATTGTGTATTCGTCCCCCCCCCCCAA